CTACGCATCCCACAAAAGGACAAACCAGCCCCTATTGAGTCTCCCTGAGGTTCTAGCTTACCAATTTAACATCCCGTTTGAAACGGTCTTATAGGATGTGTGGTGATATCTTGGGCCATTTGCTTTGCTGCTCTTCTCCACAACTTGACACACCACCTGCTCACTGATAGTGTACATCAAATATTGCACTATTGGGTCTTAGTCTAGGGATTCCGATCCAAGGGATTCTGATCTAAAACCCTTTGAATCTTTGGGGTGAGAAGACTTGTGTTTTCTATGCTAATGAGATGACTGTTGGCTGGGGACTCCTGTGTGGCTTCAGGATTGGAAATGTTCTGGTAGCAGAAAGAATAAGGCAAGCTTGAAGGGTTGAGATTTTAAACAACTCTTTTCATTTGTAACTGACAACAGGGTTGGAATGCCGAGCTCCATCGTCCAGGGAGCAGGGTTGGAAGCCAGTTAACTACAAAGCCCAGTAAGCTAATCAATCCCGAGAACATACGGGAAACCTTCAGGAAAACCCCTCAGCCATGGGTTATGCAGAGCATCTGGGCTGTGGACGCTGACCACACAGAGGGTGGGATATCAGAGGGCAGGACCAGCAGATGGAAATGAAATGAAGGCTCCATACATGTCCCCTTCCCCCAAACCTTGCCCTATACACTTTTTGCATTTGGCTGTTCCTGAGTTGTCTTTTTATCATAAACAAGTAGTAGTAAGTAAAGTGTTCCCTTGAGTTCAGTGAGTCATTCTAGCAATTATCTAACATGTAGGGAGGGGGAGATGTGGGAACTTGATATTTTAGTCCAGTTGGGTAGATATACGAGTACACCGCACACCCAACTGGTTGACTGGACGTGTGTCAGAATTCCTCGGGAATCCCAAATGGGAGTCAACTCACTCAAATATCCACAAATACGTTTACACAACAGAATATCACACTGCTCCTTTCTGCAGGTATGAAAACTACTTAGGATTTCCCCCGTTGTAGGAACAACTCGGAAGACACGTATTTCTCACCCTTCTGAAGCCTGAGAAGGCCAAGATCTAGGTGATCTTCTCTAGTTTCTAGTGAAGGCCATTTTCATGACTTGCATGTGTAAAACACTGTGCCGTACACTCCCGTGGCAGAGACAATGATCTCCCTCTATACATCTTAGGATGCTCACCATAATCTGAGGGCCCATCTTAGAGCTTCATATAACCCTTATTAGGTCTGAAAGCCCTCAACTCCACGGTGACGTTGCCATGTAGGACTTCAAAGAACAAACTAAAAAGGGAATAAATTTGAAACAGAGAATGTGTGAATAGAAGCAAGTTCATAGAGGCATTATATATGCTAGAAGTTTGAACTAATAATTAATTAGGAGATGGTGAGCAAAGTCCAACAAAGGAGAGAGGTGCCATTTTAGAATGGTCAGAGAGAAGGGGTACTGCGTTTGCATAAAGGAAAAAAAAGACCTATTGCTCTGAACACTACATGGCAATCCATTCTAACTATGTAAATCCAAACCAGGAAGGTGGTAGCAATGGACAGGAAACAGGCCGACCTGGTTAACAATGCAGTCTTCTCACTGGAAGGCACAAGGCATTCACTGTCATGACGGAACTCCCCTCCCGTTCCCATCCTTACAATCATGTTCACAGAAGGAGAAAAATGCCCATCCTGGAACTGCGGAGACTGACTGGTGCATCTTATGCATTAGGCATCTCTCCACAGTCGTGTGCCGTCCTCTAGGTGAGGACTCTGGTGATCACACAGACAGAACCGTGTCCCCCCCCTCAGTGCATCCCTCAGAGGGCAACGTCTGACTACACAATGCCATCAGCACCCCCTCCAGGAGCACCCAGTCCTGTTGGAAATTCTAGAAGGAGAATGGTGATACCGATGAGCCACAGATCCAGTTATGGTGTAAGGACAGATGTATCATGTGACAAAAGCTGTAGTCCTGGTGGTCTCTGGCAAAGAGCATCTCACATCAGCAGGATGAAGTTTTTGGAATGAGGAGTGAAGGACAGATATGATCAAAATAAGCCCTCTACCTGAGAAAAGCAAAGCTGACATGAAGATAAAAACACCTTCCGTTGTAAACATATTGCTATGGTTTGGACCTGCAACCTTCCCCACAGTCTCAGGTGCTGAGGGGACTTGGTTGGAAGAAGTGGGTCAGGGGGGCAAGCCCTGGAAAATGTATCTTCTCTCTGTCCCCTTCCCTCACCCCTGCTCTGCATCCCAGCTGCCATGAGCTGAGCATCTTCCCTCTGCCGGTCCTTCCACCCTGATCCTGCCTGGGAGCCAGCCATGCAGACCGAGTCCTCTGGAATCATGAACCAAGAGCTTCCTTCGCTAAGTCGTTCCTATCAGGTATTTTGGTCACAGTCATGAAAAGCTGACTAATCTACACATGGATTCCATAATTATGATGGGCTGTTTGCTTGTATCTTCTCAGTAAATGCAAAAGACACTGCAGAGCTTTGTGAGTGCATTTCGCCTTGTTCTTTGGTTAGTTCCCGACCTCATCCTTATGATCATGTTAAGTTGCTCTCATTTAAAAATTTATTGTTCAGTAATTTTACATGAGAACATAACTAACTGAAAGGAAACAATGCATGTTTAAAACATTGATTCTGTTCCAGTTTTATATTTCTGTGTACCCATCTTAAAATGCTGTAGTATTTCCTTTACTTACTATTTTAATTACAGTTTGCCATTGCATTTCTGCCAATATTAAATGCATGATTCAGTTAAAAAAAATGATGTTTTCTGTAAGCTCCATGGTAACCATGAAACAAAAAACTGGAATAGACAAACCAAAAACAATAAGCCAAATGAAAATAGTAACCCAGGCATGGTAGCCCACGTCTGTAATCCCAGCAGCTCGGAGACTAAGGCAGGAGGAGCGTGAGTTCAAAGCCAACCTCAGCAAAAGTGAGGCACTAAGCAACTCAGTGGGACCCTGTCTCTCAATAAAATACAAAATAGGAAATAGGGCTGGGGGTGTGGCTCAGTGGTCCAGTGCCCCTCAGTTCAATGCCTAGTACCCTCCCGCACCAAAAAATGGAAATAGTACTATGCCAATTCATTTAGACATTAAGTAAGATCACAAGAGGGGGAAAGGAGCTACTGCAAAATTACAAAACAAGCTGCATAATCACCTTAAATAAATGGATTAAATTCTACAATTTACACGTAGAATGACTGAATAGGTTAAAAAAAGGAGACCCAACTACATGTTACCTGCAAGAAACCTGCTTCACCTGTGAGGACATACACAGACTGAA